TTCTCAATCCCACAAAATGTTTAATATCTAAGAAACCATGAAACTAATTGAGTTTCCTTTTTTCAGGTTTTCAGATAAGACGTTTAGCCATCTTAACATCATTTGTCGTAAGAATCACTGAAAAACCAGATTCAGATAGAAACAGAACATTCTAAAATCGTTTTGTGCCAGAACTACTGTCTACTCAACTCAACTCAATAGTGAAAGGAGAAATCATTCACTAATGATGCCAACATTCATACTCTGGCTTCCATCTTCAAAGACCATTCAAGAACCAGCATGAGAACGGTGAATAAGTTTAAAAAGGAGGGAAGAGTAGAGATGAAAACTGGATCAGGAGTCCAAAACAGGAAGAGTGATCATCATCTCCGCTTAGAGCTAAAGAGATCAATTAGAAAAGATCCAACTCAATCCATAAGACGTTTGGGACGTGAAAGAGAAGTTTCAGCTATGATAGTCCAAAGACCAGAAAAAAAAGACTTAAAAAATTAATCCGACGTGAAACCTGTGAGGCAACTTCTTACTCCAGGGCAGAAACTTAGAAGTTTAGAGGGGGGGAAGATCATCTTGAATAAGTTGGAAAATGATCTTGGATTATATATATATATATATATGTGTGTGTGTGTGTGTGTGTGTGTGTGTGTGTGTGTGTGTGTGCGCGTGTGTGTGTTTCAATTTTATTTCAGTCTGAGCTTCCACTCCTTAGCTATGATTAATTAATGACGAATATTCATTTTCGTTTATTACCGATTTCATCACGATTTTTCTGTTAAGCTTGAAGATAGATAGGAAAGTTGGATTGTTTGAAATAGCTAAACGGAGATATATAAATTCCTCAATATTAAAATATTCGAACGGATCGATGTGTAGATATGAACCGTAAAGTTCTCTTCGATGAGCTAAATCGATGGATGTATAAATGCGTGTGTCTCTGTGTGTGTGACAGACCTTTTCGTATTTTTCTTTTCGCTACGATCCTTTCAATAAATATCTCATCCATATCTCATAAATATCGAAAATGAAATAATAATCATTATGCACATTTTCTACTCCCGATCTTCGCCCACATAAGCAGACAAATGGTAAAGAAAAATAAAAAAATATTGAATAAAAAGCTTACGAAATTCCAAGAAACATGTATGTATGCCAATACTTCATAAATAATAGACTATTTTCGTTTTAATGGCGTGTAAACACGTAAAAGATATATCAGAAACGCTACTTAGTTTAAGCGAGTAAATGAATGAATAAAAGAAAGAAATGTTTAATGTTGCATGCAATACTTCATAAATAATGGACTATTTCGTTTTGATAGCGTGGAAAGAAGGAAAAGACATATCAGTGACGCAACATGGTTTCAGCGAGTAAATGAAAGAATAAGAGGAAGATAGAAGTGTTTAATGTCATATGCCAATATTCCATAAATAATGGACTATTTCGTTTTGATAGCGTAGAAAGAAGGAAAAGACATATCAGTGACGCTACTTGGTTTCAGCAAGTAAATGAAAAAATGAAAGGAACATAGAAGGGTTTAACGTTAGATGCCAATACTTCATAAATAATGGACTATTTCGTTTTAACTGCGTGGATAAACGTAAAAGATATATCAGAGACGTTACTTGGTTTCAGTGAGAGAATGAAAGAAAGAAAGAAAAAAAGAAAGAAAGGAAGGAAGTGGTCAATACTTCATAAATAATTTAAAAAATTCGTTTTAATCGCGGGGAATGATGGAAAAGACATCAGACACGCTATTTGGTTTCAGTGAGAAAATGAAGCGAAGAAAGTGATTAACGTTACATGTCAGGATTACAGCATTAGAAACGTTACTTGGTTTGAGTGAGATAATGAAAGTAAGGAAGGCAGATAGAGGTGATTAACGTTACATGTCAGCATTTCATAAATAATAGTCTATTTCGTTTTAATCGCATGGAAAAATTGTAAAAGATATATTAGAAACGTTACTTGATTTGAGTGAGATAATGAAAGTAAGAAAGGCAGATAGAAGTGATTAACGTTACATGTCGGCATTTCATAAATAATGCTCTATTTCGTTTTAATTGCATGGTAAAATTAGAAAAGACATATCTGAAACGGTATTTGGTTTCAGTGAGTAAACGAAAGAAATGTAAAAGAAAGAAAGGGAGATAGATATGTTTCGCATCTGTTTCAGTAAAATGGAAAAAAGTTCTTCATTTCACTTTTTTAATTGTACTCCCTTACTTCATTAACAAAATGACAGTATTTACATTTATTATTGTTACTGCAATATTTTCTTAAAGTTGTTAAGCTCAAATGCGATAGACGAATTTCTACATAAAATTCACCTTGAGCTTATTCAGTCATTCAGAGAAGAAAAGAATACTGAGCTGTTACGTGATATCTGTTCTTTACGGCAGCGAATGGTGGATGGTTTCCTCAAAGATGAAGTAGTGACTCGAGGCACAGAAGGATGTTAAGGATGTCATGGACCGAGCATGCGAGCAACGATGAGATCTTAGAGAGGATGCAAACATGGAGGAGGCTTATACTTAACATCAGGAAGAGAACACTGAAGTCTCTGGTAGGCATAATGAGGACGGATGGCCTGGAGAATCTGATAATCACGGGTCGAATAGAGGGAAAGAGAGACAAAGGAAAACAACCCATGACCTACCTGGCGGATGACAGAACGTGGTCTGGGGGAGGAAGTAGAGGGAAGGAACTTGTTGATAACTTCAAGGGACAGAGTGAGGTGGAGAACCATGATCGCCTACGTCCTGAGAGGACACGACACCTAGAAGGAAAAAACTTAAGAAGTAAGACTCATCCCAAAAGGTAATTCGGAAAGCTATGATATTTTCAGTAGAAATATAGTATATGAATATCAATGTACATAGAAAGTAGTAAATTTGCTAATAGCACTGAGTATCTGTCTATATTTCTGAGATGAGATATTATCTACATTATTTACATTATTCGGACTATTGTCCTCATTTTTGTCGCCATATTTATTACAATGTTTCGGCCTTTCTGTAACTGTCTATATTTCTGAGATGAGGTATTATGTAAACTATTTACGTTATTCGGACTATTGTCCTCATCTTTGTCGCCATATTTATTTCAACGTTTCGGCCTTTCAGTATCTGTCTATATTTCTGATATGAGGTATTATGTAAACTATTTACATTATTCGGACTATTGTCCTCATCTTTGTCGCCATATTTATTACAACGTTTCGACCTTTCTGTATCTGTCTATATTTCTGAGATGAGGTATTATGTGCACTATTTACATTATTCGGACTATTGTCCTCATCTTTTTCGCCATATTTATTACAACATTTCCGCCTTTGTATGCTCCGGCCTTCTTCAGGCGGTTGGACACATGGCACAGTGGATAAAGGCTTTAGTTAGATCCGGTGACAGGGCCCAAAGAGTGTGAGTTCAATACCTGGTTAAGGCCTGGTTACGGCAGTGGAGAACTTGGAGAGGGGAATTAACAGGAGATAACTGATAACTGACATCCATTAAACGTGGCATGTGGAACTAGAACAGTCTACCCCAGTGAGAGAAATAAAGGGTTCAGTTCGACATTCCGATTACCTGAAGAAGGCCGGAACGTACAAAAGCCGAAATGTTGTAATAAATATGGCGACAAAGAAGAGGACAATAGTCCAAATAATGTAAATAAAGCATTGAGGATATAACGTTGGTTAAAGATAAAATATGGGTTTACGCGTCCGTATCCTCGTGTTATGCATGTGGGTGTATGGGTACGTATCCCCGTTTCATGTATGTGGCTCTATGAGTCCGTATACACTTGTTATGCATTTGGGTCTATACGTCCGTATCACCGTGTAATGTATGTGGGTCTACGCGTCCGTATCCCTGTGTTATGTATGTGGATCTATGCGTCCGTATCCTTGTTTTATGTATGTGGTCTATGCGTCTATATCCCCGTGTTATATATGTGGGTTCTTGCGTCCGTATCCCTGTCTTATGTATGTGGGCCTATGCGTCCGGATCTCTGTGTTATGTATGCGGGTCGATGCGTCCGTATCCCTGTGTTATGTATATTATACTATGCGTCCGTATACCCTTGTTATGCTTTTGTGTCTATACGTCCGTATCCCCGGGTAATGTATGCGAGTCAGTATCCCTGTGTTATGTATGTGGGTCTATACGCCCGTATCTTTGTTTTATGTGTGTGGATCTATGCGTCTATATCTCCGTGTTATATATGTGGGTCAATGCGTCTGTATCACCGGGTAATATATGTGGGTTCTTGCGTCCGTATCCCTGTGTTATGTATGAGGGCGTATGCGTCCGGACCTCTGTGTTATGTATGTGGATCTATGCGTCCGTATCATTGTGTTATGTATGCGAGCCGATGCGTCCGTGTCCCGTTGTTATGCATTTGGGCCTAAGCGTCCGTATCCCCGTGTTATGTATGCACGTCTATGCGTCCGTATCCCCGTGTAATGTATGCGCGTCTATGCGTCCGTATCCTTGTGTTATGCATGTGCGTCTTTGGCTCCGTATCACCGTGTTAAGTATGTGGGTCTGTGACACCGTATCCCCGTGTTATGTATGTAGGTCCATGCGTCCTTGTATCTGTGTTATGTATGTGGGTCTATGCTTCTGTATCGCCGGGTAATATATGTGGGTCTATGCCTCTGGATCCCTGTGTTATGTATATGGGCCTATGCGTCCGGATCCCTGTTATGTATGCGGACCTATGCTTCCGTATTCTTGTCTTATGTATGTGGGTCTATGCATCCGTATCCCCTTGTTATGCATTTGTGTCTATACGGTTAATATATGTGATTCTATGCGTCCGGATCCCTGTTATGTATGCGGACCTATGCGTCCGTATTCTTGTCTTATGTATGTGGGTCTATGCGTCCGTATCCCCTTGTTATGCATTTGTGTCTATACGGTTAATATATGTGATTCTATACGTCCGTCCGGATCCCTGTCTTATGTATGTGGGACCTATGCGTCCCCGTATTCTGCATTCTTATGTATGTGGGTCTATGCGTCCGGATCCCCTTGTTATGCGTCCGTATTCTTGCATTTGTGTCTATACGGTTAATATATGTGATTCTATACGTCCGGATCCCCTGTTATGTATGCGGACCTATGCGTCCGTATTCTTGTCTTATGTATGTGGGTCTATGCATCCGTATCCCCTTGTTATGCATTTGTGTCTATACGGTTAATATATGTGATTCTATACGTCCGGATCCCTGTTATGTATGCGGACCTATGCGTCCGTATTCTTGTCTTATGTATGTGGGTCTATGCATCCGTATCCCCTTGTTATGCATTTGTGTCTATACGGTTAATATATGTGATTCTATACGTCCGGATCCCTGTTATGTATGTGGACCTATGCGTCCGTATTCTTGTCTTATGTATGTGGGTCTATGCATCCGGATCCCCTTGTTATGCATTTGTGTCTATACGGTTAATATATGTGATTCTATGCGTCCGGATCCCTGTTATGTATGCGGACCTATGCGTCCGTATTCTTGTCTTATGTATGTGGGTCTATGCATCCGTATCCCTTGTTATGCATTTGTGTCTATACGGTTAATATATGTGATTCTATACGTCCGGATCCCTGTTATGTATGCGGAATTCTTGTCTATGCGTCCGTATTCATTTTCCTATCTTATGTGTATGTCCGGATCCCTGGTATGCGGACCTATGCGTCCGTATTCTTGTCTTATGTATGTGGGTATCCCCCTTGTTATGCATTTGTGTCTATACGGTTAATATATGTGATTCTATGCGTCCGGATCCCTGTTATGTATGCGGACCTATGCGTCCGTATTCTTGTCTTATGTATGTGGGTCTATGCATCCGTATCCCCTTGTTATGCATTTGTGTCTATACGGTTAATATATGTGATTCTATACGTCCGGATCCCTGTTATGTATGCGGACCTATGCGTCCGTATTCTTGTCTTATGTATGGGTATGTGGTATCCCTTGTTATGCATTTGTGTCTATACGGTTAATATATGTGATTCTATGCGTCCGGATCCCCTTGCGTTATTCTTGTCATTTGTGTCCTATCCCCTTGTTATGCATTTGTGTCTATTTATATATGTGATTCTATGCGTCCGGATCCCTGTTATGTATGTGGACCTATGCGTCCGTATTCTTGTCTTATGTATGTGGGTCTCATGCATCCGTATCCCCTTGTTATGCATTTGTGTCTATACGGTTAATATATGTGATTCTATGCGTCCGGATCCCTGTTATGTATGTGGACCCATGCGTCCGTATTCTTGTCTTATGTATGTGGGTCTATGCATCCGTATCCCTTGTTATGCATTTGTGTCTATACGGTTAATATATGTGATTCTATGCGTCCGGATCCCTGTTATGTATGTGGACCTATGCGTCCGTATTCTTGTCTTATGTATGTGGGTCTATGCGTCCGTATCCCCTTGTTATGCATTTGTGTCTATACGGTTAATATATGTGATTCTATGCGTCCGGATCCCTGTTATGTATGTGGACCTATGCGTCCGTATTCTTGTCTTATGTATGTGGGTCTATGCATCCGTATCCCCTTGTTATGCATTTGTGTCTATACGGTTAATATATGTGATTCTATGCGTCCGGATCCCTGTTATGTATGTGGACCTATGTCCGTCCGTATTCTTGTCTTATGTATGTGGGTCTATGCGTCCGTATCCCCCTTGTTATGCATTTGTGTCTATACGGTTAATATATGTGATTCTATGCGTCCGGATCCCTGTTATGTATGTGGACCTATGCGTCCGTATTCTTGTCTTACCTATGCGTCCGTTATGCATTCTTACGGTTAATATATGTGATTCTATGCGTCCGATCCCTGTTGTATGTGGACCTATGCGTCCGTATTCTTGTCTTATGTATGTGGGTCTATGCATCCGTATCCCTTGTTATGCATTTGTGTCTATACGGTTAATATATGTGATTCTATGCGTCCGTCCGGATCCCTGTTATGTATGTGGATCCCCTATGCATTTGTGTCCGTATTCTTGATCTTATGTATGTGGGTCTATGGGTCTATGCATGCGTCCGTATCCCTTGTTATGCATTTGTGTCTATACGGTTAATATATGTGATTCTATGCGTCCGGATCCCTGTTATGTATGTGGACCTATGCGTCCGTATTCTTGTCTTATGTATGTGGGTATTCCGTATCCCTTGTTATGCATTTGTGTCTATACGGTTAATATATGTGATTCTATGCGTCCGGATGTATGTGTGGACCTATGCGTCCGTATTCTTGTCTTATGTTGGGTTATGCATCCGTATTTGTTGTGCATTTGTGTCTATACGGTTAATATATGTGATTCTATGCGTCCGGATCCTGTTATGTATGTGGACCTATGCGTCCGTATTCTTGTCTTATGTATGTGGGTCTATGCATCCGTATCCCCTTGTTATGCATTTGTGTCTATACGGTTAATATATGTGATTCTATGCGTCCGGATCCCTTGTTATGTATGTGGACCTATGCGTCCGTATTCTTGTCTTATGTATGTGGGTCTATATCCGTATCCCCTTGTTATGCATTTGTGTCTATACGGTTAATATATGTGATTCTTGATCCCTTATGTATGTGACCTATGCGTCCGTATTCTTGTCTTATGTATGGGTCATCCGTATCCCTTGTTATGCATTTGTGTCTATACGGTTAATATATATGTGATTCTATGCATGCGTCCGGATCCCTGTTATGTATGCGGACCCTATGCGTCCGTATTCTTGTCTTATGTATGTGGGTCTATGCATCCGTATCCCCTTGTTATGCATTTTGTGTCTATACGGTTAATATATGTGATTCTATGCGTCCGGATCCCTGTTATGTATGTGGACCTATGCGTCCGTATTCTTGTCTTATGTATGTGGGTCTATGCATCCGTATCCCTTGTTATGCATTTGTGTCTATACGGTTAATATATGTGATTCTATGCGTCCGGATCCCTGTTTGTATGTGGACCTATGCGTCCGTATTCTTGTCTTATGTATGTGGGTCTATGCATCCGTATCCCCTTGTTATGCATTTGTGTCTATACGGTTAATATATGTGATTCTATGCGTCCGGATCCCCTTGTTATGTATGTGGACCTATGCGTCCGTATTCTTGTCTTATGTATGTGGGTCTATGCATCCGTATCCCCTTGTTATGCATTTGTGTCTATACGGTTATATATATGTGATTCTATGTCCGTCCCCGGATGCGTCCCTGTCTTATGTATGTGGACCTATGCATTTTGTGTCCGGTTAATATATGTGATTCTATTGATCCTGTTATGTATGTGGTGCGTCCGTATTCTTGTCTTATGTATGTGGGTCGTGCATCCGTATCCCTTGTTATGCATTTGTGTCTATACGGTTAATATATGTGATTCTATGCGTCCGATCCCTGTTATGTATGCGGACCTATGCGTCCGTATTCTTTGTCTTATGTATGTGGGTCTATGCGTCCGTATCCCTTGTTATGCATTTTGTGTCTATACGGTTAATATATGTGATTCTATGCGTCCGGATCCCTGTTATGTATGTGGACCTATGCGTCCGTATTCTTGTCTTATGTATGTGGGTCTATGCGTCCGTATCCCCTTGTTATGCATTTGTGTCTATACGGTTAATATATGTGATTCTATGCGTCCGGATCCCTGTTATGTATGTGGACCTATGCGTCCGTATTCTTGTCTTATGTATGTGGGTCTATGCATCCGTATCCCCTTGTTATGCATTTGTGTCTATACGGTTAATATATGTGATTCTATGCGTCCGGATCCTGTTATGTATGTGGACCTATGCGTCCGTATTCTTGTCTTATGTATGTGGGTCTATGCATCCGTATCCTTGTTATGCATTTGTGTCTATACGGTTAATATATGTGATTCTATGCGTCCGGATCCCTGACCTATTATGTATGTATGTGGACCTATGCGTCCGTATTCTTGTCTTATGTATGTCCGGGTCTATGTCTTATGTATCCTTATGTATGTGGGTATCCTTGTTATGCATTTGTGTCTATACGGTTAATATATGTGATTCTATGCGTCCGGATCCCTGTTATGTATGTGGACCTATGCGTCCGTATTCATTTTGTCTATGTATGTGGGTCTATGCATCCGTATCCCCTTGTTATGCATTTTGTGTCTATACGGTTAATATATGTGATTCTATGCGTCCGGATCCCTTGTTATATTATGCGGACCTATGCGTCCGTATTCTTGTCTTATGTATGGGTCTATGCATCCGTATCCCTTGTTATGCATTTGTGTCTATACGGTTAATATATGTGATTCTATGCGTCCGGATCCCTGTTATGTATGTGGACCTATGCGTCCGTATTCTTGTCTTATGTATGTGGGTCTATGCGTCCGTATCCCCTTGTTATGCATTTGTGTCTATACGGTTAATATATGTGATTCTATGCGCGTCCGGATCCCTGTATTATGTATGTGGACCTATGCGTCCGTATTCTTGATCTGTTATGTATGGACCCATGGGTCTATGCATCCACTGTTATCCCTTGATTTATGCATTTGTGTCTATACGGTTAATATATGTGATTCTATGCGTCCGGATCCCTGTTATGTATGCGGACCTATGCGTCCGTATTCTTGTCTTATGTATGTGGGTCTATGCATCCGTATTGCATTTGTGTCTTTGTTATACGGTTAATATATGTGATATGGGTCTATGCGGACCCATGCGTCCCTTGTCTTATGTATTTGGGTCTATCCGTTCCCCTTGTTATATATGTTAATATATGATTCTATGCGTCCGGATCCCTGTTATGTATGTGGACCTATGCGTCCGTATTCTTGTCTTATGTATGTGGGTTGCATCCGTATCCCCTTGTTATGCATTTTTGTGTCTATACGGTTAATATATGTGATTCTATGCGTCCGGATCCCTGTTATGTATGTGGACCTATGCGTCCGTATTCTTGTCTTATGTATGTGGGTCTATGCATCCATATCCCCTTGTTATGCATTTGTGTCTATACGGTTAATATATGTGATTCTATGCGTCCGGATCCCTGTTATGTATGTGGACCTATGCGTCCGTATTCTTGTCTTATGTATGTGGGTCTATGCATCCGTATCCACTTGTTATGCATTTGTGTCTATACGGTTAATATATGTGATTCTATACGTCCGGATCCCTGTTATGCGTGTATGTGTGGACCTATGGCGTCCGTATTCTTGTCTTATGTATGTGGGTCTATGCATCCGTATCCACTTGTTATGCATTTGTGTCTATACGGTTAATATATGTGATTCTATGCGTCCGGATCCCTGTTATGTATGCGGACCTATGCGTCCGTATTCTTGTCTTATGTATGTGGGTCTATGCGTCCGTATCCCCTTGTTATGCATTTGTGTCTATACGGTTAATATATGTGATTCTATGCGTCCGGATCCCTGTTATGTATGTGGACCTATGCGTCCGTATTCTTTGTCTTATGTATGTGGGTCTATGCATCCGTATCCTTGTTATGCATTTGTGTCTATACGGTTAATATATGTGATTCTATGCGTCCGGATCCCTGTTATGTATTGGACCTATGCGTCCGTATTCTTGTCTTATGTATGTGGGTCTATGCATCCGTATCCCCTTGTTATGCATTTGTGTCTATACGGTTAATATATGTGATTCTATGCGTCCGGATCCCTGTTATGTATGGACCTATGCGTCCGTATTCTTATGTATTGTCTATCTTATCCCCTTGTATGTCTATGGGATTCTATGCGTCGGATCCCGTATCCCCTTGTCCGTATTCTTGTCATTTGTGGGTCTATCTATCCCCTTGTTACATTTGGTTACGTTTAATATATGTGATTCTATGCGTCCGGATCCCTGTTATGTATGTGGACCTATGCGTCCGTATTCTTGTCTTATGTATGTGGGTCTATGCATCCGGGTATCCCCTTGTTATGCATTTGTGTCTATACGGTTAATATATGTGATTCTATGCGTCGGATCCCTGTTATGTATGTGGACCTATGCGTCCGTATTCTTGTCTTATGTATGTGGGTCTATGCATCCGTATCCCTTGTTATGCATTTGTGTCTATACGGTTAATATATGTGATTCTATGCGTCCGGATCCTGTTGTGTATGTGGACCTATGCGTCCGTATTCTTGTCTTATGTATGTGGGTCTATGCATCCGTATCCCCTTGTTATGCATTTGTGTCTATACGGTTAATATATGTGATTCTATGCGTCCGGATCCCTGTTATGTATGTGGACCTATGCGTCCGTATTCTTGTCTTATGTATGTGGGTCTATGCATCCGTATCCCCTTGTTATGCATTTGTGTCTATACGGTTAATATATGTGATTCTATGCGTCCGGATCCCTGTTATGTATGTGGACCTATGCGTCCGTATTCTTGTCTTATGTATGTGGGTCTATGCATCCATGTATCCCCTTGTTATGCATTTGTGTCTATACGGTTAATATATGTGATTCTATGCGTCCGGATCCCTGTTATGTATGTGGACCTATGCGTCCGTATTCTTGTCTTATGTATGTGGGTCTATGCATCCGTATCCCCTTGTTATGCATTTGTGTCTATACGGTTAATATATGTGATTCTATGCGTCCGGATCCCTGTTATGTATGTGGACCTATGCGTCCGTATTCTTGTCTTATGTATGTGGGTCTATGCGTCCGTATCCCCTTGTTATGCATTTGTGTCTATACGGTTAATATATGTGATTCTATGCGTCCGGATCCCTGTTATGTATGTGGACCTATGCGTCCCGTATTCTTGTCTTATGTATGGGGTCTATGCATCCGTATCCCCTTGTTATGCATTTGTGTCTATACGGTTAATATATGTGATTCTATGCGTCCGGATCCCTGTTATGTATGTGGACCTATGCGTCCGTATTCTTGTCTTATGTATGTGGGTCTATGCATCCGTATCCCCTTGTTATGCATTTGTGTCTATACGGTTAATATATGTGATTCTATGCGTCCGGATCCCTGTTATGTATGTGGACCTATGCGTCCCGTATTCTTGTCTTATGTATGTGGGTCTATGCATCCGTATCCCCTTGTTATGCATTTGTGTCTATACAGTTAATATATGTGATTCTATGCGTCGGATCCCTGTTATGTATGTGGACCTATGCGTCCGTATTCTTGTCTTATGTATGTGGGTCTATGCATCCGTATCCCCTTGTTATGTATTTGTGTCTATACGGTTAATATATGTGATTCTATGCGTCCGGATCCCTGTTGTATTTTGTCTTTATCCGGACCTATGCGTCCTTATTCATTTGTCTTATGTATGTGGGTCTGCATCCGTATCCTTGTTTATGCATTTGTGTCTATATACGGTTAATATATGTGATTCTATGCGTCCGGATCCCTGTTATGTATGCTGGACCTGTGTCCGATCCCTGTTATATTCTTGTCTTTTTATGTATGTGGGTCTATGCGTCCGTATCCCCTTATTTATGCATTTTGTGTCTATACGGTTAATATATGTAAGGATTCTATGCGTCCGGATCCCTGTTATGTATGTGGACCTATGCGTCCGTATTCTTGTCTTATGTATGTGGGTCTATGCATCCGTATCCCCTTGTTATGCATTTGTGTCTATACGGTTAATATATATGTGATTCTATGCGTCCGGATCCCTGTGTATGCGGACCTATGCGTGTATGTGGACCTATGCGTCATATATTGTTTGCATTTGTCTTATGTATGTGGGTCTATGCATCCGTATCCCTTATCTTTTATGCATTTGTGTCTATACGGTTAATATATGTGATTCTGCGTCCGGATCCCTGTTATGTATCCCCGGACCCTATGCGTCCGTATTCTTTGTCTTATGTATGTGGGTCTATGCATCCGTATCCCCTTGTTATGCATTTGTGTCTATACGGTTAATATATGTGATTCTATGCGTCGGATCCCTGTTATGTATGTGGACCTATGCGTCCATATTCTTGTCTTATGTATCTATGCATCCGTATCTTGTTATGCATTTTGTCCATGTCCCCCGGATTGTTATGCATTTGTGTCTATCCGTATCCCCTTGTTATGCATTTGTTAATATATGTGATTCTATGCGTCCGGATCCCTGTTATGTATGTGGACCTATGCGTCCGTATTCTTGTCTTATGTATGTGGGTCTATGCGTCCTTGTTATGCATTCCTGTGTTGCCATTTGTGTCTATACGGTTATGTGTGGACCTATGCGTCCGATTCTGTGGGCGTCCGGATCCCTGTTATGTATGTGGATCCCTATGCGTCCGTATTCTTGTCTTATGTATGTGGGTCTATCATCCGTATCCCTTGTTATGCATTTGTGTCTATACGGTTAATATATGTGATTCTATGCGTCCGGATCCCTGTTATGTGCGGACCTATGCGTCCGTATTCTTTCTTGTCTTATGTGTTATGCATTTGTGTCTATACGGTTAATATATGGTCTATGCGGATCCCTGTTATGTATCCCGTCCGTATTCTTATCTTAACCATTTGTCTATACACATGTCTTACGGTTAATATATGTGATTCTATGCGTCGGATCCTGTTATGTATGTGGACCTATGCGTCCGTATTCTTGTCTTATGTATGTGGGTCTATGCATCCGTATCCCCTTGTTATGCATTTGTGTCTATACGGTTAATATATGTGATTCTATGTCCGGATCCCTGTTATGTATACTGCGGACCTATGCGTCCGTATTCTTGTCTTATGTATGTGGGTCTATGCATCCGTATCCCCTTGTTATGCATTTGTGTCTATACGGTTAATATATTGATTCTATGCGTCGGATCCCTGTTATGTATGTGGACCTATGCGTCCGTATTCTTGTCTTATGTATGTGGGTCTATGCATCCGTATCCCCTTGTTATGCATTTGTGTCTATACGGTTAATATATGTGATTCTATGCGTCGGATCCCTGTTATGTATGTGGACCCTATACCGTCCGTATTCTTGTCTTATGTATGTGGGTCTAACCATCCGTATCCACTTTGTTATGCATTTGTGTCTATACGGTTAATATATGTGATTCTATACGTCCGGATCCCTGTATGTATGTGGACCTATGCGTCCATCCCTTGTATTCTTGTCGGTTTATGTATGTGGGTCTATGCGGTATCCCCTTATTATGCATTTTGTGTCTATACGGTTAATATATGTGATTCTATCCGGATCCCTGTTATGTATGTGGACCTATGCGTCCGTATTCTTGTCTTATGTGGGTTCATATCCGTATCCCCTTGTTATGCATTTGTGTCTATACGGTTAATATATGTGATTCTATGCGTCCGGATCCCTGTTATGTATGTGGACCTATGCGTCCGTATTCTTGTCTTATGTATGTGGGTCTATGTCCTTGTCTGTATCCCTTGTTATGATTCATTTTTGTGTATACGGATTTAATATATGTGATTCTATGCGTCCGGATCCCTGTTATGTATGTGGACCTATGCGTCCGTATGTGTCTTATGTATGCGTCCGTATTCTTGTCTTGTGTCTATACGGTTAATATGTGATTCCGTATCCCTGTATGTATGCGGACCTATGCGTTATTCTTATCATTTGTGTCTATGCATCCATGTCCGGTTAATATATGTGATTCTATGCGTCCGGATCCCTGTTATGTATGGACCTATGCGTCCGTATTCTTGTCTTATGTATGTGGGTCTATGCATCCGTATCCCTTGTTTATGCATTTGTGTCTATACGGTTAATATATGTGATTCTATGCGTCCGGATCCCTTGTTATGTATCCGACCTATGCGTCCGTATTCTTGTCTTATCCCGTATGTGGGTCTATGCGTCCGTATCCCCTTGTTATGCATTTTGTGTCTATACGGTTAATATATATGTGATTCTATGCGTCCGGATCCCTGTTATGTATGTGGGGACCTATGCATTTGTGTCCATATTCTTTCCCTCTTATGTATGTGGGTCTTATGCATCCGTATCCCCTTGTTATGCATTTGTGTCTATACGGTTAATATATGTCGGATTCTATTATGCGTCCGATCCTGTTATGTATGTATCCACTTGGACCTATGCGTCCGTATTCTTGTCTGCGTTATGTGTCTTATGTATGGGGTCTATGCGTCCGTATCCCTTGTTATGCATTTGTGTCTATACGGTTAATATATGTGATTCTATGCGTCCGGATCCCTGTTATGTATGTGGGTCTATGCGTCCGTTATGCATTTTGTCTTATGTATGTGGGTCTATGCATCCGTATCCCTTTGTTATGCATTTGTGTCTATATCCTTGTTATGCGGTTAATATATGTGATTCTATGCGTCCGGATCCCTTGTTATGTATGTGGACCCATGCGTCCCCCTTGTATTCTTGTCTTATGTATGCGTGGGTCTATGCATCCGTATCCCCTTGTTATGCATTTGTGTCTATACGGTTAATATATGTGATTCTATGCGTCCGGATCCCTGTTATGTATGTGGACCATGCGTCCGTATTCTTGTCTTATGTATGTGGGTCTATGCGTCCGCATCCCCTTGTTATGCATTTGTGTCTATACGGTTAATATATGTGATTCTATGCGTCCGGATCCCTGTTATGTATGTGGACCCATGCGTCCGTATTCTTGTCTTATGTATGTGGGTCTATGCATCCGTATCCCCTTGTTATGCATTTGTGTCTATACGGTTATATATGTGATTCTATGCGTCCGGATCCCTGTTATGTATGGGGACCTGCGTCCGTATTCTTGTCTTATGTATGTGGGTCTATGCATCCGTATCCTTGTTATGCATTTGTGTCTATGGATGGTTATATATGTGATTCTATGCGTCCGGATCCCTGTTATGTATGTGGACCTATGCGTCCGTATTCTTGTCTTATGTATGTGGTCTATGCATCCGTATCCCCCTTGTTATGCATTTGTGTCTATAATGGTTAATATATGTGATTCTATGCGTCCTGTTATGTATGGATGCGTCCATGTTCTTGTCTTATGTATGCGGGTCTATGCGTCCGTATCCCCTTGTTATGCATTTGTGTCTATATGTATGGGTCGTATGGATCCTGTTTGTATCCCCTTACGTTATTCTTGTCTTATGTTGTGTCTATACGGTTAATATATGTGATTCTATGCGTCCGGATCCCTGTTATGTATGTGGACCTATGCGTCCGTATTCTTGTCTTATGTATGTGGGTCTATGCGTCCGTATCCCTTGTTATGCATTTGTGTCTATACGGTTAATATATGTGATTCTATGCGTCCGGATCCTGTTATGTATGCGGACCTATGCGTCCGTATTCTTGTCTTATGTATGTGGGTCTATGCATCCGTATCCCCTTGTTATGCATTTGTGTCTATACGGTTAATATATATGATTCTATGCGTCCGGATCCTGTTATGTATGCGTCCTTATGTGTGGGATCCTTGTTGTTATGTATGTGGGTCTATGCATCCGGTGCATCCCCTTGTTATGCATTTGTGTCG